ACAAACAAGAGACACAGACAGACAGAGACACAGGAGACACAGACAGACAGAGACACAGACAGACAAACAAGAGACACAGACAGACAAACAGAGACACAGACAAACAAGAGACACAGACAGACAGACAGACAGAGGCACAGACAAACAAGAGACACAGACAGACAGACAGAGGCACAGACAGACAGAAACAAACAGACACAGACAGAGACACAGACAGACAGAAACAAACAGACACAGACAGACAGACAGAGAGGGGTAAATATGGATAAATATAAATATTTCCCCAGAAAATCTCCACTCTACCTGGTTTGAGAGAATGAGGGCTGTGACTGGATGCCCTGTATGTCAGTCAAGTAACACATTTCATAGTGAGGATAGATGATAGGCTGACATCTATTTATTTTTTTTATTTTATGCCAAGTGATCTACTCATAATGCCTTTGCAATTGACCGGTAGATCGCGATCGACGTATTGGACACCCCTGGACTATCACATTCATACACCGATGGGACACACATTGGAGGCAGTGTCTTACCCAGGACACTTGGGCATGTGACTGCGAACCCCCAACTCTTGCATTGGAGGACGACTGCTCTAACCACTCATCCACAGCTGCCCCCGAGACTGGTTTAGGATTTGTTTTTCAGTTTGACAACACATTAACAAAATGTCTCAGTCTGCCTGATTAATAGACCTAATATAGAGTAATGTCCTGTCAATATATAGTAATCATACTTCTAACTCCTACCCATTATGCTTGGCTCACACACCACCTAACAAACAATAGGAAAAGACGAATATTGGGTTTACATCTCGTTAAAACTCAATTTCTCTAAGCCAAAAGACGTGAAAACTCCCATGCAAAAGTGAGCACCCTTCGTTTGGTTGAAGCAGGCCAGTCACATGATCAGCACACGATTCAGTGATTACCAGCGTCTGATTGGTCAGCCCTAAAAAACACACCTGCCCAGGTGTTTAAGGACAGGAAGGACCAGACTGTCTACCAATGAATCACATGCTGGGCTTCACACCAAAAACAAAACCTCAGGACTGACTCATCCTCACATGACAGCAGCTCTCTGGCACTCTGAGCCATTATCAGCCTCAGACACACAAAAAGAGCATGTCATTCCTAAAAATTACTAATTGGCCTTTGTGTTTTTAGCTCAGAAGAACAACTGACAAATTTGAAGAAAAACTTAGTACTATTACTGCCCACTGCCACCATAGAAGGCAGGAAGTTATGCACTGTATTGTAATTGCCTGTGTAAATTTGTCTTTTAGCAAAATATCTCATGAACCACTGAATGAATTTTAGTGAAACGCTCAGAAAGTAATCACTGAATGTCCAGTTACAACTAGTTAACTTTTGGAATGAACTCAATTCAAGATGGTCACCACAGCCAATCACACCTAGCAAACACAACAATTGCTACAACTCAGTCAGTTCTACAGAAACTGAGCTAAAATTTGACAAGGTAGTAGCTGTGAGTTATCCCCATTGTATAGTCTGAGCAGCAACTGATCATTAAAGCTTCGGCATGAAACGCAGCAGGTGATACGTGTTCCTTCAAGGAACGTTAGGCCTTTAATCTACACATCTTTAAAACCCTGGTGAGGTAAAAAAGCTTGTTTTATGAAATGTAATATAAAATGTTCACAATGATTATTTTCCCTGATTTAGATCCTCAAATATCTGACCTTTGATGGCGCTGATCTAGTTTTCACATGATCTGTTTTCAGATTAGAACTGTGATGAAATAGCTGGAGGTACCACTTCCAGTGAAAACATCTTATTTTCTGGGTTGTGCACACCAACATGTGTATGACCAATAAAACTCTGTTAGAACTGAAGTCACTTAAAAGAAACTTCTGACTAATAAATGCATCAAATCACACTTTAGCTCCAGATATTCACAGCCATGATGAATTTTTGAGGAATCTTTCCACACATGAAGCGGGAATGAAGTGAGTGCAGTTTTCAGGTGTGCAGTGTGCTTGTGTGTCCAACATTTTTGTCTTTGTGAGAGGAGATCGTTTGGGCCCTGCAGCTGGAGCGCACCTTGTGTTTGTGTCACATCGGCATGTTTTATGGAGCCAGGCTCTCTTATTGTGGGTTTTCAGTGTAATGACTGCGCATCAGTTTGACACACACAGACGGATTCCTCTGTAATCAGAGCTGCGCTGCAGGTGCACAACAACATGAGCATCAGGCAAGAAAGAAACTAAAAGGAATACCGAGCAGTGACAAAAAGGAGGAAGATGAAATTTTGATTTAAGAGATGGGGGACAAGACAAGATGAACTTTAAAGCCTAGTTCAACAAGTTTAGACGTGTTCAGGGACAAACAGAACCGACTGTACTGCAGCTCGTCTTCACAGGGTTTCTATACACAGATGCAACATTTCATATGTTTGTCAATTTCTGAGCCATTTGTGATACTGGAACATCTGTAAACATATTGTCAGTGTTTGTACAGAGGAATCTTATTACTATAATGCTTCAACCCCCCCACCCCCACCCACCCACCCACCCAAACCCACAACGTGTGAACAAAAGTGCACAGCATGTAACAATGGTTTTGAAGAGAAAACTAACAAAAATGGTAAACAGACTGTACTTCTATAACATCTTTCTATCTGATCAAGATACTCAAAGCTCTTTACACTACAATCTGTGTCCTCATATACCCATTCATACAGCACTCTACTAGATCTCTACAAAGATAATTGAACAAATCATTCTAAAGAGACTAATCAGTGATTTATTACATTCATACACTGATGAGACACACATCAGAGGCTATGAGGGGTTCATTGTCTTGCCCAGGGACACTTCAGCATGTGACTGCGGGTGGATTCGAACCCCCAACTCTTGCATTGGAGGAAGACTGCTCTAACCACTGGTGAAAGTTAAGGTGTATTTATTTTATTTATTGTTTGTTTAACCCTATCAAACAACATAAAAAATATAGTTGTGGCTTATTTTGATTTATACTTGTGTTTAAATATGTTATTTTTAATCTCAAACTTTTTTTTTTGCATCTTCTGGGGTCCTAACTATTAACAGAGCCCATCCCTTACTAGGAGTGGCTGTGGATGAGTGGTTAGAGCAGTCATCCTCCAATGCAAAAGTCGGGGGTTCGAATCCACCAGCAGTCACATGCTGAAGTGTCCCTGGGCAAGACACTGAACCCCTCGTTGCCTCTGATGTGCGTCCCATCAGTGTATGAATGTGATAAAGCACTGATTAGTCTCTTTAGAATGATTTGTTCAATTATCTTTGTAGAGATCTAGTAGAGTGCTGTATGAATGGGTAAATGAGGCACAGATTGTTGTAAAGAGCTTTGAGTGTCTTGATAAGATAGAAAGGTTTTTATATAAGTACAGTCCATTTACCATTTACCATTTACCTTACTGAACGTAATTTATAACTCAAAACTTTAGATCAGCTACAGTTCCAGTTTAATAAGTGTCTCAACTTTATCAGGTCAAAGTGCTACTTCATTGTGGTTTTAAGTGGTTTAAGGATATATGAGTAGGATTCCTATAAAGAAGTGTATGTATATAATGGAGCAGAAATATACTGAAGTCTGAGAGCCTTTTGTAGACAAAATAATACAAACATCACAAAAACTACAGTTTGTGAAGTTCAAATGTTGCCCAGGAATGAAAAAGGAAACTTTCTATAATGAAAAATGACTGGGTTCTGACTGTTTTGGACAAATATTAAAAACAAATACTCTCACACATGTAGATTCACTAAGGTGTTAGGGATGACTCTCAGCTACTACCACACCAAAGCTTATGTGCTCCAAATGATAAGATGACAAGATCTATAACTTTACATATGCGCATTCAGTGATAACGGTACTTTCTGAGTTTCACTGAAATCTGTCCATGACTTCATGCAATGGTGAAGTCTACATTTTTGTACTAGGTATACTGTGCTTAGAAACCAAAATACACGGTTAGTACAATGTAATTATCAATTTATGTTTATTTTTTTATTTTTTCATTTTATTTAACCTTTATTTAACCAGGCAAATCCCACTGAGATCATATACGTCTTTTGCAAGGGAGACCTGGGCCTGAAGGCAGCCTAACATGCATGCTTTTGGTCTGTGGGAGGAAACCGGTGTACCCAGAGAAAACCCACGCAGCACGAGAAGAACATGCAAACTCCACACAGAAAGACCCCAGGTCCAACCGGGGATTGAACCCAGGACCTTCTTGCTGTGAAGCAACAGTGCTAACCACTGAGCCATCATGCTACCATGTCACGCTGCCACAAATTTTTAAGCATATTGAACATTTCCAAATTTCTCTGTTGCTTATATTTGAATAAGTGTACAACAAACGTTGTGCAACAGTTGGTTTTGTATTTGAAACATGTTGTAGAATTTATAAAACAGTATCAATGCAAAACATGTTCAAGTATTAAGTAGTAAGTACAGAATTAAGCAATAAATTGCTGGATAAGTGAATGTAATAAACAAGTGCTGTATACAGATTTAACTGCCATTTAACATACCAGTGACACATGCCTAATGTCATGTATCATTGGGCACTTTTAAATAGTTATACTGAAATTCTTAGGCTTTTCTAGTGGATATACTCCATGTGTCCGCATATCACGTAGACTACACCTCTGGGTTCATGCTAACAGACAAACAAATGAACATATAGATGATGGTAAATATATTATCACCTGCCTTTCATGGCAGTGAGGCAAAAGTCCTATGATTTACTGCAAATCAGGAAGAGGTTATTTTATTCACTGATTTCCACTGCTAACTGGATTATACAACAGTTATGTTGAAGCTGTTTCTTATAAAATGTTCACACATATTCCAGATATTTTAACTGAGTTGATCATTTGAACCACAAATCAAAGAGGCTGTGCACGTCCAGACCTAAGCTCTTATCTAATTAATACAAAGGAGTGCATTTGATTTTATGTCATTCCACTCAGTATGTGGTGCCCTTACAGTTTATTATAAAACTTTTGATGACAGAAACCAATAAAATAATCAAATCAGTAACTTGACTTTATAACTAACATAAAGCTCAAATCGAAGGCCAAACAACTAAAGTTCCACTTGTCTGGACCATTTTTGGTGAAGAAACAATATTTGCTCATTTTGACACAACATTCCAGACAAAAGCAGAGCTACTTAGAGCTGTTGGTCTCATCAACACAGTCATCCATCTGATTTTTCTCACCGTTTGGTCAGAAAACTGGTGAAGTTCTTTCCAAAGCCAATGACGCCCCAGTACTTTCCATTATAGACTCCCTCAAAAGCCTCGTGATGAGACAATGGGACCTGTGGAGAACACCAACAAAATTAGGAAGTGTTTCTTCTTTTAAATTCAAAACATGTGAATTAATATTGGGTATTTTTAAGGTACAATAAATGACTAAAATGAACTTACAGAGAGACCACATATTGATTTATTGCATAGTAACATGTTTATCTGTAATCTGTAATCCTTATGCACGTGTGAAAGCTGGGCACTCGAGATGTATTGGAGAAAAAGTTCAGCTTGGCTGTCTTTATCGATGAAAAAAAAAGGAAACATAAAATATTGGCACTCGTGTGTATTATTTCACATATTTTTGTGACTGGTAGCAGAGATATTTATGTGTCATTGAAGCACAGTGATATATGGTGGTGAGTATGTTTTTGAAACTACTGTACTATTTAGTTGTAAAACCACGTCTCTGAATCCAAAATGTTATGAGCCTAATAGGGCCAAGACCCATCCAATCAAAAAACCATCCTTTTCTATTTTGTCTTCTTCCTTTGCTCGAAAATCATTTTATTTTTTATGTATTTAAAAAATTTTTTATTGATTTTTATTTTGTGGTCTACTTATTTTAAATCAGGCTCACCTATGAATTTATTTCTGGCCATGTTGTGGCGCTTTGCTTCCTATGTTGTTTTAGCATAAATTATGCAAACCTGCACAGATGTGGATGTGTAGGGCAGCTGTGGCTGAGTGGTTAGAGCAGTCATCCTCCAATGCAGGAGTTGGGGTTTCAAATCCACATGCCGTCACATGCTGAAGTGTCCCTGGGCAAAACACTGAACCCCTCATACCCTCTGATGTGTGTCCCATCAGTGTATGAATGTGATCTAAACCACTGATTAGACTCTTTAGAATGATTTGTTCAATTATCTTTGTATAGATCTAGTAGAGTGCTGTATGAATGGATAAATGATATTGAATAAATGTAAATTGAATAAATATAAATGATATGATATTAAAATTTTATGACTTGGTTGATTACAATATCTTACTGTTTATGTATGGGGCCAACAAAAACATACTACCTACTAACATTCAAGGGAAATTGTGAAAAGAGAAAATAATTATTATCTTAAGGGGATGGAGATGTTTGTGAAGCCGTGGTGTTGCACCAGTCTGAAGATGCAATCCACTATATCTCAGGGTATTAGATTGTGGAATGATGCAATCCACTATATCTCAGGGTATTAGATTGTGGAATGATCTGGAGGTTGATATTAAAAATGCCAAAACTATGTACATATTCAAGAAGATGATAAAAAAAATTATTATTTTTTAAATATTAAGTATAATGTGAGTTCATAAAAATTGTTTACAGTTGATCTTATATTTTAGCTAAGTTTTTATTTTATTTTATTTTTTATTTTTTTTATTAATTCATCTTGCTTTTGTATAGTAATTTTGTTTGGAATATATTTTGGGGACAAGGGGAAGATATTATAAGAACTCATTCTTCTTCTGCTGCCTTTCATTTTATTTCTGTGATTGTATATCTTTTTTCTTTTCTTTAAATTGTATTATATTTATTGTTTGGATGAAATGAAATGAATAAATAAAACATACATACATACATACATACAAATGAGGCTCAGATTGTAGTGTAAAGAGTTTTGAGTGTCTTGATCAGATAGAGTCAGAGTCAGAGTCAGAGTTTCTTTATTGTCATTCGCACCTCATGTGGTACATGTGGTGGAGCGAAATTATGTACACAGGGTCCCAGTTACATCCAACAATAAAATGTCTAAGAAAAACAGTGAAAGGTGCTATATAAGTACAGTCCATTTACCATGTGAGACAATAAATATTCTGAAGCTATTCAAAAGTATTTCCAAACATGGCAACATCCATCCATCCATCCATTATCTTTACCCGTTTATTCCATTTTGGGTCACGGGGGTCGCTGGTGCCCATGTCCAGCAATCACTGTGCGAGGGGCGGGGTACACCCTGGACGGGTCGCAAGTCCATCACAGGGACACATGGCAACATGTCTTTGCTCAAAAGCAAAGTGTGATTTTTTTAAGTAGGCATTCTAAAAACTCAAAACATTTTGCACAAAAGTTTCTTCAGTCTTGAAAAGAAAGACTGAGACTGCAACTTTGGTGATATGTGCTGCTGATTATACATGCTGCTGATCTCAAAATGCTGTATTCATTTGTACTCATTTACTCACAGACTCGTGTTTGTGCTCCTGCTGTTCAGTGCATTTTTTTGCATTATTAGTGTTTAGTGTATTTCTTAGTTTATATCTTCAATCTTATTACTGTTTCTTTTTTACAATTTATATTTTTACTATTGTTGGATGTAACTGGGACCCTGTGTACACAATTTCATTCCACCTCATGTACCACAAGTGATGCGAATGAAAATAAAACCTACTTGAACTTGAAAGAAGCACAAGAGGTTTAAAGAGCTAGTCCTCACCATCAACTAGCTTTGCTCCGATAACTTTGCAACCATTAGAGGTCAAGTATGTGCATGCAATGAACACAAGTGCTGATATTCATTGGGTTTTTGCAGCGAGAGTGGCAGCAAAGCTGGACATTTTCCTTTGATTTGTTCAGACCAGGTCCAATTGGTGCAAGTATGTACGGATTGTGCAGTTTGTGTTTTAATTCTGCTGCAAAACACAGAGTCCAAAAAACAGTCAGGCGTGTGAAAAACACTTCATTACATCAAGACTTTCAACCAAGATTAACTGAATAAAACCCTCGGACTTCCTTGAATCATCTTTTTATCCTGGTTATGTGCCTGTAGTTTTTGCACGGCGTGTGTGTGGATGTGTGTGTGCGTGTGTGCGTGCGCATCAGTGAGCTGAAAGGTTCCAGTTTGTGTCCCTTAGAAAGAAAATTTGACTGACTTTCTTAGAAAAAGGGAAGTGTCACACTGTCTTACTTTGAACAGAAGTGAAACCTATTTTCTCAAGAGTAAAAATAAATTGAACATCTGAGAGGGGAACCAACGGTCCCTCCAAGTGTCAAATATTTGTTTGTCACCAGAACAAAATGCAAAGTGAGCAAGTGATTTGTTCAATAATGGAACCACTGTGCTGGAAAAAACAAACATCAAATTCATCTAAATCTAGAAGCAGATATATATTTTTATATTTTAATTTAATATCATTTTCTTCTGTCGGATAGTCGAACCTCGGATTCAGGAGGAGCAGTGCGGTTTCCTGGTCGTGGAACACTGGACCAGCTCTACACTCACAGCAGGGTCCTGGAGGGTGCGTGGGAGTTTGCCCAACCGGTCTACATGTGCTTTGTGGACTTGGAGAAGGCGTTGGACTGCATCCCTCGGGGAACCCTGTGGGGGGTACTCTGGGAGTATGGGGTACCGGGCCCTTTGATACGGGCTGTTAGGTCCTTGTATGACCGGTGTCAGAGCCTCGTCCGCATTGCCGGCATTAAATCGGGCTCGTTCCCAGTGAGAGTTGGACTCTGCCAAGGTTGCCCTTTGTCACCGATTCTGTTCATAACTTTTATGGACAGAACTTCTAGGCGCAGCCAAGGTGTTGAGGGGATTCGTTTTGGTAGCCTTAAGATTGTTTCTTTGCTTTTTGCAGATGATGTGGTCCTATTGGCTTCATCAGGTCGTGATCTACAGCTTTCGCTGGAGCGGTTCGCAGCCGAGTGCAACACAGCTGGGATGAAGATCAGTTCCTCCAAATCCAAGGCCATGGTCTTGAGCCGGAAAAGAGTAGAGTGCCCTCTCCGGGTCAGGGAGGAGGTCCTGCCCCATGTGGAGGACTTCAAGTATCTTGGGGTCTTGTTCATGAATGAGGGAAAAATGGAACGTGAGATTGATAGGCGGATAGGTGCAGCGTCTGCAGTGAAGCGGGCGCTGTACAGGTCTGTCGTGGTGAAGAGAGAGCTGAGTCAAAAGGCGAAGCTCTCAATTTACCGATCGATCTACGTTCCCACCCTCATCTATGGTCATGAGCTTTCAGTTGTGACCGAAAGAACGAGATCTCGGATACAAGCGGCCGAAATGAGTTTTCTCCGCAGGGTGTCTGGGCTCTCCCTTAGAGATAGGGTGAGAAGCTCAGTCATCCGGGAGGGACTTGGAGTAGAGACACTGCTTCTCCACGTCGAGAGGAGCCAGTTGAGGTGGCTCGGGCATCTGGTTAGGATGCCTCCTGGACGCCTCCCTGATGAGGTGTTCCGGACACGTCCCACCGGGAGGAGACCCAGAGGAAGACCCAGGACACGCTGGAGGGACTATGTTTCTCGGCTGGCCTGGGAACGCCTCGGGATTCCCCCGGAGGAGCTGGACCAAGTGGCTGGGGAGAAGGAAGTCTGGGCCTCCTTACTTAAGCTGCTACCCCCGCGACCCGACCCCGGATAAGCGGAAGAAAATGGATGGATGGATTTTCTTCCATTTATTTTTCATTTTATATGCTTTTTATATGATTGTCTATTGTTGTCTGTAACTCATCTGTGTTCTTTGTCTAAATCAGGTCTCTCTTGTAAATGAGTACTTGAGGCTCAATGAGACTAACCTGTATGTAACCGAAGGAGATGGTTGTGGACTTCAAAAGGAATAAACACACCTACTACCCCCCTCCCCCTGAACATAGGAGGATCTGTCGTGGAAGTGGTCTCCAGCTACAAGTACTTGGGTGTGCACCTGAATAACAACCTCAGCTGGGGCAACAACCCTTCCAGCCTGATCAAGAAAGCTCATCAGAGACTCTACTTCCTCAGGCGGCTGAGATGAGCTGGTCTGGGAAGCTCAGTCCTCACCTCCTTCTACAGGTGTGCAGTGGAGAGCATCCTGTACTCCAGCATCAACATGTGGCATGGAGGCTGCACAGCTGCAGAAAGAAAAGCTCTGCAGAGAGTGGTGAAGGCTGCACAGAAGATGTTGGAGTCAGCCTCCCCACCATCACAGACATCTACACCTCCAGATGCAGGAAGAGGGCCACCTGCATCATGAAGGACCACACTCACCCAGCACACACACTTTTTGCCCCGCTCCCTTCAGGAAGGAGGTTGAGGAGCATTAAGTGTAGAACCACCAGGCTGAGGAACAGCTTCTACCCTGAGGCTGATAGACTCATGAATCTCTAACCAGAATAATAACTGTGAAAAAAAAAAAGAACTGTGAAAATGGCTATAATGTCACTTGGTTGTTGATGTGTGCTGCTGACTATCCATGATGCTGATCTCATGCTGCTGATTACGTCATGTTGCTGTGTTCATTAATCCTCATCTGCTCACACAGACTCGTGTTCGTGCTGCTGTTGTTTTGGCGCATTGTTTTTGTACTATTAGTTCTCAGTGTATTCTTAGTTTTGTGTATTCTTAGTTTAGTGAATCTAGTATATTTCTTAGTTCATGTCTTGGATCTTATTACTGTTTTTCTTTACAATTTGTATTTTTGTTGGATGTTACTGGGACCCTGTGTACATAGTTTTGTTCCACCATATGTACCACATGTGATGTGAATGACAATAAAAATCCTTGTGCCCTTTTATAAATAAAGGTTGAATTAAAAAAAAGCAAACAAAACTCCCCAGAAATTTGATACCTGATAGATGCTGGAGTTGTCCAGGAAGGACAGCATGGAGCTGCTGAAAGAGGAGGTGGAAGTGTCATTGTTCACCACAGCCACCTGGATCCCCTTCGGCTCTCCTCCCACGCACAAGCAGATCAGAGAAATCTGGATGACGGGCAGCAGGAACTGAAAACACAACGAGCTGAAAGCACACCAGAAATCACAATGGTCAGAAACACAGCTGCTCCTTCTGCTGTTAAAAATCATCCTGTTGAACAAATGAAGCTAGGACTAACCCCGGCATTCTCTTCATCCGCACCATGGTCTTAATGATCAGAGCAGCGATGTTTCTCCCTCTCGGCAGCACATGTCTGGCTCGTGCCTTCCAGTTCGCTGAACACCAAAAACACAAAATGATGAACTTTTGCTGAACGATGTGAAGCTACAGAAAATGTAATTTAGCAATCCAATGATGTGTCAAATGATAAATGTGAGAACAGGAAAAAAGCTGAATTATACCCTAAATTTCTTTAAGAAACTTTATTTGAAGCATTTGCCAGTTGTCTATCTGTATGCAGCTTTACATAAAGTTTTTTCTTTATCACATTTACAATCCTAAAAGCATTTTAATGCATTGAACTGTTGCACGTGGCAATAAAAGACAGCTGGTTTTGAGCAGTGTTATGCCACAGGGAGTAAGATCGTGTTAAAAGAGAGTACATATCAGTCATTTGGACTGAAATCACTCCCAAAGAAAAACGATTCAGCTCCATGACTTCATCCTATCCATTATCTACACAACACTCTGGTGTTTAGATAAGGTCCTGCTGATAAGCTGCATATAACAAAGGCAGTATTCAAACATGAGTCTGCAGAGCCTGCAGTTATACAGTGACGTGGTTAGATAAAGATCCCTTTCAAAGATTTATAGTGTTGTCTTTAAAGTCATGGTGTAAAAAGAATGGACACTACAAGCCTGGGCAGCACGGTGGCGCAACTGGTAGAGCTGCTGCCTCTCAGTGAGCAGGTCCTTGGTTCAAAACCCCGGTCCAGGGGCCTTTCTGGGTGGAGTTTGCATGTTCTCTCCGTGCATGCGTGGGTTTTCACCGGGTACTCCAGTTTCCTCCCACAGACCAAAAACATGCATGTTAGGCTGACTGGTAACTCTAAATTGTCCCTAGGTGTGAGTGAGAGAGTGAATGGTTGTTTGTCTCGTTTATTTCTATGTGTCCCTGTGATGGACTTGCGACCCGTCCAGGGTGTACCCCGCCCCTCGCACAGTGATTGCTGGACATGGGCACCAGCGACCCCCGTGACCCAAAATGGAACAAGCGGGTAAAGATAATGGATGGATGGACTACAAGCCTGAAGTGGTTCATATGTATAAAAATGTACACAAGTGAGATGAAGCTCAAGCTGTCGCCGGTGAAAAGGAGGGAAAAAAAACCTGAACATTTAGGAAGTTCTTCTGCGGGTGGTGGTTCGATTGCAAGAATGGGTTGACTCTCGTCCCGCCCACTCTCGAATGATTGGCTTTTCTCCAGGGGTCCACCCTGAGGACTGGATCCTCGTTTAACAACGTTCTGGTCTGATGACTGACACAGCTGCAGGAAGGCATGCTCCAGGGTCTGCAGCAGACAACAAATGGTAAACCAAGTGAAATTACCATCACTTAGAAAATATGGTCTGTTTTAAAAGGTGGGTCATGAGGGTATTGGTGTAGAATGCACTGGACTTAAAACAGTACTTACTGTTGCACTGTGCTGCTTCATGACTGCATCAGGAGGTCCTTCAGCCAGTAAATGGCCGTTTCGCATCAGACCAACCTTAAATAAAAGAAGAGCCATTTATTAGACAAGGATGTTTTGATCAAACTAAAAAAGGAATATAAAATAAATATATTTCCCTCTACACTTTTGTCTTTATTATATTGGGGCGGCTGTGGCTGCATGGCTAGAGCATTCATCCTCCAGTGCAAAAGTTGGGGGTTCAATTCCATCAGCAGTCACATGCCGAAGTGTCCCTGGGCAAGTGTCCCTCATTGCCTTCCATGTGTGTCCCATTGGTGTATGAATGTGATAAAGCACTGATTATTCTTTGTACATAAATACAGGTGCTGGTCATAAAATTAGAATATCATGAAAAGTGATTTCAGTAATTCCATTCAAAAAGTGAAACTTGTATATTATATTCATTCATTATTTTATATTTATTCATTATATTATATTTATTCATTATATTATATTCATTCATTATATTATATTTATCCATTATATTATATTCATTCATTATATTATATTCATTCATTATATTATATTCATTCATTATATTATATTCATTCATTATATTATATTTATTCATTATATTATATTCATTCATTATATTATATTCATTCATTATATTATATTCATTCATTATACTATATTCATTCATTATATTATATTTATTCATTATATTATATTCATTCATTATATTATATTCATTCATTATATTATATTTATTCATTACACACAGACTGATATATTTCAAATGTTTATTTTTTTATGTTGATGATTATAACTGACAACCAATGAAAACCCCAAATTTAGTATCTTTGAAAATTAGAATATTGTAAAAAGGTTCAATACTGAAGACACCTGGTGTCACACTCTAATCAGCTAATTAACTCAAAACACTTGCAAAGGCCTTTAAATGGTCTCTCAGTCTAGTTCTGTAGGCTACAAGATCATGTGGAAGACTACTGACTTGACAGTTGTCCAAAAGACGACCATTGACACCTTGCACAAGGACGGCAAGACACAAAAGGATTGTTATATAGCACCTTTCTATCTTATGAAGACACTCAAAGCTCTTTACACAACAATCTGTCCTCATTTACTCATTCATACAGCACTCTACTAGATCTCTACAAAGATAATTGAACAAATCATTCTAAAGAGACTAATCAGAGCTTTATCACATTCATACATTGATGGGACACACATCAGAGGCTATGAGGGGTTCAATGTCTTGTCCAGGGACATTTGGGCATGTGACTGCTGGTGGATTCAAACCCCCAACTCTTGAATTGGAGGACAACTGCTCTAACCACTCAGCCACAGCTGCCCAAATAAGTAATATTCTAATTTTCTGAGATACTGAATTTGGGGTTTCATTAGTTGTCAGTCATAATCATCAACATTAAAAGAAATAAACATTTGAAATATATCAGTCTGTGTGTAAGGATTGAATATAATGTACAAGTTTCGCTTTTTGAATGGAATTACTGAAATAAATAAACTTTTTCATATTCTAATTTTATTACCAGCACCTGTAGTAGAGAGCTGTATGAATGGGTAAATGAGGCACAGATTGTAGTGTAAAGCACTTTGAGTATCTGTATAAGATAGAAAAGTGCTATATAAGTACAGTCCATTTACCATTTATCATTGATTTCATGATAATCTGCCATACTTTACACATCATCTGTACCTTAAAAGGACCCCCCCCCCCCCATACACACACACACACACACACACACACACACGATCCTCTACCATTTTAGTTGGATTTAAGGAAGTCAACATTTGGCATGATTTTTTAAATTTCAAGTTCCTTACAAAGGTTATTAACTCTTACTCTTGTTTTAAAATAGCCAAAAGGAAATAGATGATGTACAAAAACAAAATTTTACAAATAATTAAATTTCTTTTGCAATAAAACAAAATCTGACCAGATTCTGCTAAAGCATATCTGTCAAATACAGCATCTATAAAAAGTATTCATTCAGATGTTTTATTACTGTCATAGATCAACAATGGTCAATATAAATTTACCTTTTACACCTAAATAAAACTTTTAAATCATTCTTCAGTGTCAAATTAAAATTAAATTTCTATTTACAGTAATACCAATTAATCTAAAACACAATGTAAAATACAGTAAGTGATTGCATAAGTCTTCAAGTACAACTCAAAGGATGGATACAAAAGGAGTTCAAGGTCCAAAACATCCTCAGGAGTTCTGTTAACTCCATTATCAGGAACTGAAAGGAATATGGGACATGTGTAAATCTACCAAGAGGGAGGCTATCCTCACAAACTGAGTGAACATTCAGGAAGGACTTCTTGACCTCAGAAAACAAAAAATAGCTGAAACTCCATCTATTTAAGACATTAAGCTAAACTTTGTACGGTAGCAGCAGAGAGTCAACTCCATCACACATTCAGAGAGCTCACGCATCACATCCTTGTTTAAACTTCTGCATGGTATACTCTTTTGAAGGCCACTTTTAACCATTGTTGTAAGAGACAAAACAATAATGTGTTCATCGCTAACCCAAAACCTAACTTTTCTTTTCTTTGGGGTGTGTTTAAATAGTGGTCTTGATTCGTAAACCTCCTCAGTGCAGCACATGTCAAAAACTAAACCTGTAGCTGAAGAATAATCAAAGCTTATCTGGTAACAACAGCCTATAAAAGACTGATAAAGCTACAGTTTTCTGTTAAACTGACATGTCTAAGTGACAAAAGTATTTCCTTAAAAGTTGAACGATGGATCTCTGAACCATTCGCTGCATCTCCTCACATTCTCTTGTTAAGGTGTCATAAAAGCCAATTAATGAGCTCGCCTGCGTCACTGTGGCTCAGTTGTTTTGACAGAATCTCATCCTTGTGGGGAGAAATCTATGCTGTCTGACTGGTTTTTATTGGAGACTTCCTGCCTCTGCAGGCTGGTACTGAATCTGTGATAAAAGAAAAGCTTGTCTTTTTTTGAATTGTGCAGCATGGGTTAAAACAAAAAAAGGTTTGATCACTCCTACAATGATTCCACGTCATGTAGGTCAAATCAACGGCTTCACGCTGAGGTTCATCTACTGTGGAATATGAAAAAAACAATTCAGATTGCTGCTGGTATTTAGTAAGATGTTCAGCAGGTTGGAAAAGCTGCTTAAACTGCACCAAAGCTTCATGTGACAGTAAATGTTTTGCTAAAACTCAGATAAAGAGTGAAAACTTTCAGTCTCTGTCTGCATGAAGCGTATGCAACAGTTCTCAGCTCCTGGATCATGCATGACATATTTTCTATTTGTTTTTATTCAAATGAGATAGATACAAAAATGTAAGTCTGATTTGCAAAAATAAACACCAGTTTTGCATTCTGCACACTGTCCAACTAATTTTGTTAATTTACTTACATGATGCAAATCAAACGTGCAACAGACAGCTTTCAAAATGCAAGTTGGAAAAAACACAAAATAAAAATAAAAACTACACAGGAAGTTTCTTGAATTGGTTAGATATTAGCCGTTCTGGCAAACTATGCTAGAATGAGTTATTAATGCTGTCATGGAAAATTCTGACTCACAAAAAGATCACACACTTGTTTCAGATTTGTTGAAGCTTTGGAGAACAATCAGCAATCACAGAAGATCAATGCACTTACAAGATTACACTCATCATTTCCCTCAATCATCTGAAACACTGATCTGTTCTACCTTCCTGGACCAGAAAAGTCAGTTTTATAGAATAACCTGCAGCCCTCAACGCCCCCACCCCACACCCCAGTGTCCGAGCCGTCATCAAAATGTCTGCTGCAGACAGGAAGGAGTGGATCTGAGTCAAGGACTCTGCTTGAAGACACGTCACCATATCAATATCATAGCACTCAAACCTTGAGAATAATTAAACTAGTTCTTTCTGTTCCTCACTGACCGGTCACAGTAAGTTTATCATTTACAATCACAGTCAGAACGAAGAACAGATTATAAAGTCTAAAATCTATACTGATTAAGTAAGATAGATGACATATGATAAATGCATGAAATACACATTGCCTTGATAAACACCATTAGTGCCCAAGCAATATTTCTGACTGTCCTGCAAAGTTTAAAGACACATTAAAATAAAAACAACAAAAATAAATTTACACCTGAGGACTACTCGCATGATAAACCACAGCTAATATAACTTCAATTAGCACAAACAGCACAACAATGGCTTTTTAAATTAAAAGCCATTGTTGTGGTGTCAGAGAAGAGATCATGTTCAACACTGGTTTCACTCCAGTCCAGCCTGACTGCTTGGCTTGTACTGGTTATAAATCTGTGAGCTTTCAAACAAGAAAAAAGCCACAGAAGTCTCAAACAATAACAAATAAAATCAGAGATTTAAGCCCACATGACAGGGAAGTTGTTAGATAAGAGATGGGGGGAAGCAAATTTGGTTATTTTATTTATTTATTGATTTCTCATTTTGTTTAGTCAAATATAATGAATCAATGTATTTTTGAAGCTCTTAGCAGAACTCTATCCTCCTTCATGACACTAAAAAAATGACTTCCTGGAAGCTAATCTTCAAACTTTTACTGCAGTTGGGTGTTTGGACATTGTAAAGATGATTAGTGGAAAACGAATGAACTCTAGTGAACCAAGAGTATTACAAAAAGATTAAAAAGCAACCCAAGTTTCCAATAAATACTGTAAAGTTGACTAGAGGCTGACTGAACCTCTTCTTTTATGGATCAAAATGAGCAGGAAGTGTTGTTTTTTTCCCTTCACGTTATTTGTGTTACCTGGATGGAGTTTGATTCATGCAAACCACAAATCCCATTTACTAACTGGATTCAGTCAACACTGACTCATCTTTACTTCCCACAGTCAGTTTTACATCCATGCTTTGTTTAGTATGCAGCAGATTGTTTTGTAAGACTTTTGCATATATTTCTACTCTGAAAGACACCAAGTGCTAAAATATTCACTAAAACATAGATTTATTACTTAAATATGAGAGAAAAAAAATCGGCTTTTCTGCATGTTTGGAGGACCCGGTGGCCGTCCGAAACAGATTTTGTCCTGTGGTGGTGATTTACAGCTTACAGAACAGAAACCTGCAGCTCTGCACACAAGGGAGCCTCTGTGCAGCCTCAAGCCCATGTGCACCCACTGACATTGTGTTTTTGTTCTTCCTGTCAAAACTAATAAACATTAGAATTCATTTACAGACTCATTACGTTTCCCTGGAAAAGAACATGGACGAGAGAGCTTTGATCTATTGGTTTTCAGATTTCCAATGGTTGCACGTTTGCATTTGTGCCTAATTTGCGTGTTTGTGTAGATGCATGTGGGTGTATGTTTGATGCATCTCACCACATGGGCTTGCCTGGCCTCTTCTATATAGTGAGTGGTGATGATGACGGAGACTTTTCCCGTCTTCACAATCTCCACCAGGTGCTGCCAGATCCTAGAACGAACACCATATAAACATATTAAACAACCCCCAACGTGCGTGTTCTCCTAAACTCTCTGACAACAGGTTCATTGCCAGATGTCTCATCTGACCTGGATTTGTGATTACACACTGAAGCAACACTACCCGTTCCAAACATCGTCCAAAAAACCAGGTCTTATCCTTGTCGACATGTAAAAACAACATTTCTTGCAAACTAGCCAAAACGTGGGTGCGTATAAAAGTTACATAAAGTTATCTGGCTGTGCTGATAATCTCTTGCACTATCTGGGAAAACTTTTTTCAATACAATATCCTGAGGGCACTTATGAGCTGTGCCAGCTGCGCAGACAGAACACTGTAAAACCATTAACCTGAAATGACTTCAAAGATCAATGTCATAAAAAAACCTAGCTGACTGCTACAGAGTGTGTGTGATGAACATTTATTTACATTTAGAAATGATGCTCTCATATTTTTACTGTCAATATAAAATATAACCACTGCAGAAGAAAAAGCTAGAAAATCAGTTGTCATTACATTTCTCTAAATACTCCCATGTCAATATCAATCAGTATTAAAGGAAGCAATACGTGCTTGTCAATGAGTTATGAAGTTAAATGTTCCTGGTTTGATCGGTTTCTACTGTAGGAGGTCACATTACAGCTCACTGGAGACATTTTCAACTTTTCCTAAAACTTGTCTTATTGTAAATGATGGGGATATTCTGAAGTTTCTGAAGACGTTTCATCAGACCAAGTTCACATATATTTATTCTTTAATGGTTGGACCCAGAAATGCAGACAACCAGGAGGAAGCTCAAATAAAACGTTAAGGTTTTATTTAATAAAACAAATGGCTGACGTAGCAAACAGTAAACCCAAAATAAAAGCTCAAGGAGACACAAACGAGACCGAAGATGGGAGAGAAAGAGAATAAAATGAAAAGGCTGGGACTGAGGCGGTGTCTGTGGGTGTCATGGGGTGCAGGTGTGAGGGGGAGGAGCAGGACTGAAGAGCACAGGTTGACTGTGGAAAAGTACCGAGGAACAACTGGAAACAAATCTCACAAAAGCGAAACACGAATAAAAAAACTATAAATGTAAGCAGAAGGCAACATGGAGAACAGCATTATGTAAAACAGCTACGGTAATTAAATCTAGAAATGTCAATAAACACAAAGAATACTAGGATCATGTCAAGTATTTAGTATTTGTCTACAAAATACCAGGTCATCTATTAAATGTAGCTGGTTAGCTAAGATAAGATGGATGTTGAAAACATTTTTTCATCTTAATCATAGTAAACACAAATGTCAGATTTTGCCCACAATCAAATTTCTTTTGAAATCTTTTCGCCTCAGAACTCTTCAACTTATCAGACAAACGTAAGTATTATATTGATTTACTGAATTTGGCAAACACATCAAGTCTGCTGATAAGTTCACATTTAAATATAGTTGAAATAATCTTTCTGTTATCTTACCAGCAATTCAAAGTTTGAATTTAATGTTTTGTATCATTCTAAACCGGTGTGGATTGCAAATCTTTTAGGTTCTGACCCAGGAAATAGCAGCAGAGACATAAAAAACTAAACTACTGCTGGTTGACACAAACACTGATAATAAATTAAAGAACGAGAATAAAATGAAGCAATGAACAACTGTTGAAGTGGTCTCATCAATTTATGACAGCTGCTTTTTTATATTTTATACAAATAATAGCAAAACCAAAGCTACTGGCAATCCTCTTTAGATTTGATTTATGGAAATCTCAAGAACGAAACACAAAAACTTGTTCTGGCCACGAGTAAAATCTAAAGTGAAATCTAGTTTATGTGTAATTTGGGACTTCCTTTTATCTCAACGTGTTGCCTCTGTTTTAAAGAGGGTTCTGGGAAATGAAATGGGCCAGGGGCTGTGAACAACAGTCAGACCTGCTGTGTGACTCAAAGATACATACTTGGACCTGAGCACAGGGTCCACTCCGACCGTCGGTTCGTCCAGGATGAGCAGCTCTGGATTCTGCAGCAAAGCAGCTCCGAGAGACACTCTCCTCCGCTGTCCTCCACTGAAAGACAAGAAGCAGAATCAGTCAGAGGAAGTCAGGGTGGAGGAACCCTCGTCGATACTCCCGACTGTTTTGTCACCTTATTTGTGCATGCCACTCAATCCAGAGGGTGGTGGAAAGGTGGGAGCCAAAAGGAGCCAAAACAAAATGTTCAAGACAAACCTGCCCGACAGGACAGAAGTAAACAATAGCTGAGGTGAGAATACTCTGAGGGGACATGGTATAATTAAAAAAAAAAAAATAACTGTGGGTGTTGGTGTGTGATGATTAAAAATAGACTTTCTCTACATTGGATTAAAATAAAAGTATATAATCTGAAAAATAACCATTCTTGTCACGATCACATGTTTAACATGTTCATACCAAGAATATCATTCATGTTACAAGCAGCTGGGACTTTCCCATGTAGGGCAGGAGCAGAACATGAAAAACACTAACAAGACTGTAGCAATATCATTTACACAACAAGTTGTGGAAAGCTCTGAAAGTGTTCTTATCTTAACAGCAAATTATCTTACACAAATGTGTATATTGTTTCTTCTCAAAGGAAATGACGTGATCAAACACTGCTAGAGACCTGGCCCTCTGTTAGTAAAATGTGGCGAAAGCCATGAAACATTTAAGTATATGACAGGAATCACAAATCCAGCTGTGAGAAGTGGGTACAACCAATCAACAAGGTACTTTAGATACAATGTTTGAGATTGATAACTTTATAAAATCTTAGAATTTTGTTCTGGGTGGTGATGCAAGCCAAATAAGGCTAAAGGTGGAGTGACAGCCTGTGATGCAACAGAAATTCTTGCTTGGTTACATACGGTGCAGTACTATGCTGAAAATGTTAAAGTTCATATAAGGAAGAAATGGTGGAGTGTCTAAACACTGCAGCAACTTCCATTATTCATTATATTCAGTAAATGTTTTGCCCCAATGAAAACAGAAACAGCGAGCGAAGCGTTGCCAGGTAGCTTACTTTTAACTACATCTTAGGGGTAAAAGTAGTTTTGAGTGGCTGATGAAAATTGGCAACTTCTTTCATTTCTATGCTTATTCTGTGGGGGTTTTCGTCTCACGCCTGAACTCAGGGTGGAGATCCATTTAAAATCCTGTCATGGCTAACAGGATTGTTTTTGTGCCAACACTGGCGCAAGTGCAATAGTCATTAGATGGCAAATAGCAACGACATGATTTTATTAGACTTTCCACTGCCTGCTTATCAGACAAACTAATTGTTTTGTTACTATGCTGACTCCAAAGAGAAACGGTTAGGTTTGTTTCTGTATGGATATATCATCAAGGGTTCAAAGTCTGGGGAACATAATGAACTGGATCAAACCGGAGCCTTGCTCCTCCAAAAACACACCCTCATTTTTGGTTCATGAAGATAAAATGGATTAATTTTTTTACAAGACCTAAAAATTTGGACACATTTGGAGCAAAAAGATGCATTTAGATGGTCAGCCTGCCTGTTAGATAACACATTTTTGCTTTTTACCTGAGATTTCGGACCAGGCTCTGCTTTTGAGGTAGATGAAGGAAATCAATCAGGAAGTCCATGCGCGCTTGGGTTTCCTTCGATGTCAGGCCGTGGATTCGACCGAAAAAAGTCAAGGTGTCGCTGATGGTGAACTCGTTGTACAGTGCTAGCTCCTGTGTAACACAAACATGAGTTTGCTACAAGCTATTGGAAGCATGGCTGTTTTGCTTTTCAGATTTCTTTCAAAGAAATAACCCTGCAGATTTGAAATGGTACCGTTAATAAAGCCACATGAACATTTATTACATATCATATTTATGTTATGTATACATAGCATATTCACATGATCTACATACTATGAGTCTCAAGAAACTTCCTTTGTATTTTTCACCAGACAGCAGAGACAGAGCAGCACATATTTCAGGTGTAACATTCCTTTCTCTGTAGGTAAGAGGTCATGTCCTGTTGGATGAGTGTGATACTCAATGTTACACATAGAAGGACACATAGCGTGCGTGTTACTGACCTCGTCACATGGCCTGGCAACAAAGGTTAAATTACAGAAGCCCTGGAGGAAGACACTACTCGGTTGTGAAAGAGCAGCAACCTGACATGATTGCTGCATTTATATACAATTTTTGTTTTACTAATTGGATGCACTTTTTTACTTGTCCACTTGTTGATTACCTGTGGCATGTATCCAACCATTTTCCCTGGTACTTCGTGACCAGGAAATGCAGGTGGCTTCCCCAACACAGTGATGTGGCCTCGTGAGATCTTCAGCGTTCCCACGATGCATTTTAGAAGAGTTGTCTTTCCACATCCACTGGGCCCCAAAAGGCCATAACTGGTAAAAAGAGGCACATGTCACATTAACCACAAACAGTCTTAATTAGATTTCACAGATGCATCTGAAGAAGGAATGTTGTTCATATCATATGAAGAAGTTATCTGAAAGGCGACTGGCTGATCATGTTTTAGAAAGTGAAGCTGCTGAACAGATAGTCAGCAGCTTCTTCGCCTGCATCTGCCATGGTCAGATGAGATTAAAAAAACAGAGAAATATTTTAAAATATGCAGACGAAACATAAATGCTGAGATTCCTGAGAATTTTATTGTCTAAATTACTCAAGTTGACATTTTATCCTAATGTCCTAGCGTCAGAAAGATTCATGTGACTGTTTTTAACTTTGATTAGGATTATTTTGCCATTGAGAATTCAGAGATTTTCCATGGAAGTTTTTATGAACAAACCCATGAATGAAAACTACCACACGAACGTTGCCTTTAAGAGACTTTCAAATTGTAACTGTTTGGTAGAGTTTGGTTTAGCTTCAGCTAAATTAAGCTAAACTGAGGCAGAAATTGAAAGTGTCAGTCCTTTGTCTATATTACAGATAAGTATTATATATATTTGATGTTGTTTTATTGGTATGTTCACAGAGCTTCACTGACTGAACTTAAACTAATTTTTCAAGTTTAGAGTTAGCTAAAACTAGGAAAAAGAGAACGCTCAGTAAAATTGTCCATTTTTTGAATACCTTGGCATCTTGACAAAATACTTTCTCATCAAATCATATTTGTTTATATCATTTCATGCAACCTCTGTTTAAAATAAAACCACTTATTCAACTATATCTTACTGTATGAAAGACGACTGTTTGTTTTTTTTACACAAGTTGTGTCTAAAGTGAAACAATTCGTCTGTAAGGATAGCAAGTTAAAACTTTACCAAACTATGAATTATCACATTGATTATACAAAAGACAACTAAATCGAAGCTGAGCCCTGTAACTGAACACTCCCAGAAGATTTGATTCTTCTTTTAATCACATGTACGACAGCTTGTCTTTATCACTTTGATCCAACCTGAATGATAAATCACCAACATTGTTCAGGTGCATTGAAATGCATGACGTGCAATAATCACACAATGTTGCACAGTACAAGGAAAACTGATTGTGCTGATTCAATGAACATTGTGGCCTATTTATTAACTTCTTGACCTCTGTAGGAAACAAACAAGTTCTCTCTTTTACTTTTGCTCTTGGTTGTCTCACATTAAGCTTAAGAATCTAGGTTAGGGTAGGAAAAGTCGAGCATGAATCAAAAGATGAGGGTCTGATATGACAGAGACAAACAACAGGCAGGTCTGTCAAACAAAAGACGTGCGTTTAGGTTGTTCTAGTGAAAGATGGACGCTCCTGATCTAGTACATTACGTATTTTCTTTACAACTCTGTTCTGAAAATCTTTCTACCTTTTGAAATACTGGAATGTTTCTGTTTTACCTGCAAGGAGCAAAAGATGGTAGAAATATTCAAAGTACTCTGACTACTTAGCAGAAAAATGACATGTTTGACGAGTGAGTATGAACGATAAAGGACAGCGGACAGGCCTTCGTGTCCCAGAACCTCATCCAGGAATGTGAACACCTTTTGCATGAAGAGAACATCTTGTACTTGTGCCTGTAAGTGCTACAAGGAGTACCATCATCATCAGTACACCATCTTAGAACCAACATAACTGGTTTGTTCCACTTTGGAGTAAGCTTGGGGGAAGAATCAGTTTTGTGTTGTGTGTTTCCTTGACTGATGAAGCCTTCTGGATGGAAAGTGAAACGTTTCAGAAAAAAAAAAGAAAGAAACTGTCCAGATGACCTGACTCAAAATTGTTGGATTGTGTACCTGGATTATTGAGCATGGACTTTTTTGGTACAAGGTTTGGTTCAGGTTTTACTTACTCTTTATTATTAACCTTTATTTAACGAGGCAAATCCACTGACATCACAGATCTTTTCCAGGGGAGGCCTGGGCCTGAAGGCAGACTAACATGCATGTTTTTGGTCGGTGGGAGGAAACCGGAGTACCCGGGGAAAACCCACGCAAGCACAAGAAGAACATGCAAACTCCACCCAGAAAGACCCCAGGTCCAACCGGGGATTGAACCCAGGACCTTCTTGCTGTGAGGCAACAGTGCCAACCACTGAGCCATTGTGCTGCTCTTTATTCTATTCTCAATTTTTTTACTTGATGCTGTGATTTTATTGTTAAGCACTTTGGTATTTTAAATGTGCTCTATAAATAAATTTGACTTGACTAACCTATTTATCTGTCAGATTGAAATGCGTGGGAGCAGCAGCACTCACATGTGTCCCTGCGGTACGGTCAGGTTCAGGCTACTGAGGACCTTCAGCTTTCCGTAAGACCGGCACACATCTCGACATCGGATCGCAAAATCGTCGTGTGCAGCGGGCAGAGGCGCTTCCAAGTCAGCTTTCATATTCTCGTTGTTCAGCTAGAAGAGAAAAGACGGTTTGGTGAAGGACAACCTTACAACAGTTTTGTCACCAGATATGCAGATTTGGTGTGTTCATTGTACATGCAATGAACATTTAGTGAGAATTTCATTCCACTGGCTAATGAGATATTTTGCTGACAGACGATCAATTAAATACACACAGTCAAAGGAAATAATGTGACCGTCTGCCTTTCATGGCAGCAGGCAAAAAGTAAATTTAAAAAGAAAATTTTCAATATAAATGCTTTAAAACTGTTTTTGTGGTTTTTAAAAAGCATAATATAAAATATTTATTCTTTAACATTTTTGCAGTGACATAATAATGATCTGATGATGATCATTACAATAAATGCAGACAACTGTTTGCTGAAATCCAGTTTTTTATGCTGAACCTTTGTTTTATTAAACACATTGTAACTCGCAGCTCTTTTGATTCTATCACTAACTTTTAATTGAAAAAAGAAAAAGTCTACATTATATAAAAAAGGGGAAAAAAGTCTGCTTTTGTTTTCCAGATTTGTACTAACCTTCCTAAAATGCATTAATTGAACTGCTGCGTGTTTGTCTTATTAATTAATGCATTTATTATTTATTAATGCAGCTGTAGGTCTGATACCCAGTCATGTTCACACCTGTCAGGAATGTCATCCATGTGACCAGAGTGGCTCCTCTGTGAGTCAAACTAACAAAGACTCTAACGAGCCCCTATTGTGAGGAGTGATAGGGAAATCTGCATATGTATCTATCTTACCTCAGCTTTATAGCTCGAACCGCACACGCTCGGTTCTTTAAACTGAGAAAGCTCCTCGGATGAGAAGTGAAACGTCTTCTGTTACAAATAAAGTCCAGTTGTTTTTGAACTTGTTTGAATTTACCAGTCCTGGATGACTGGGAATCTCCACCAGTGTTTTGTCTTTTATTAAAGCAGCAAGCTCTTCTGAAAATTCTACAGTGGACTCAAAAAGCAACTTCTGTCATAAAAGTCAAGCCTGTCTTTTTAAAAGTCAAAACTCAACGTGCAGTTAATCTTAGACCACACAGTTCGGTGGGCTGAATCATTAAGGAAGTGATTGACAGGAGCTGATCGCCCGGTGAGGCCACCAGGTTCACTCACCGGTGCCTTCAGCTGCACGCGACTTGTTTTGATTCCTGGTTGTTATTTTTGTTAGAAAAGGAATGAGCAACTGGTTTTGAACAGATCGTGTTAGATTGCTTTAATCAGTTTTCTCCAGTTTGTATCCATGACGCACTGAACACAACAAGTCGCTCTTCAGAGGATTCTGATATTCTCAAAAGGCAATCTTTTTTATCCTCATATGGGGCTTCAGGTTCTGTTGCTTTCTATTTATTAGAGCCTGCAACATGTGAGGAGAGGAAGGAGAAGCTGGTTTTAAAAAAGAGATGAACGATGGAATCAGTCGGTTTGACTCTGTATGCTACAAAGCAGAGCCTTCGAGGTTTGCATGCAGGTCACAGCTGTTGTTTGTCGTCCTCAGCCGAGGGAGTCTAAAGAATAAGCTCGTGCGTGTGATGAGTTCCCACCGGTGGCTCGGATGAGGCGACATGGACAGTTATTTGTAACTTTCCATTCCTCATTCTAGTCGATCGAGTTTGTGAAAGTAAACACTTTTCTGTAAGCTTGTTCTCACAGCAGCTTATGAAAGACTGAATTTGGTGCTGACTGGCCTTGTTGATCATTTTACATTAACTTCATTCTGACTTCATGTTGGAAGTTGCTCTCAGCTGCAGGTCATGTGACTAACACAGGAAAATTGTATTGTCTATATGAAAACACACATTTTTGTGAATATTAGATTTAAGACGTCTAAAATGCAGAATATTCTCCACAGACTGTGTTGTCTCACATAAATATTTCATGTATTCAACTGTTACTTCAGTTCAATCATGAGTTGTTGAGATTATTGCAGAATATTTTAGTCTTACCGTCAGCATGTAGTCAGAATTTATTTTCCCAGGCATTCTGTGTTTCTGCAGAACTGAAAAGGTATAAAACTGGAATTAAATGTAGCCTATAGCCTTTCAAAAGTACAACAAAACAAAAAAGCATAGTTGTAATTCGTTCAGTTCCATCTATTCAAACTGAGCGGAAAATGTTGAGTATTTTTAAAAAACATAATTAAATGGCTCAGCTGACAAGAATATGTCTTGTTTTACACAAAGGTCTGAACTCCTGCCAGTGTCTGTGAGCGACCAACCATTGTTCCTTTAACCAACTTACTAAGGAGACAAGTAATTTGTCTCTTGGTTGGATCTTTGCTTCAGCAGACCACATGTGGATGAAACCTCTAACAGCAGAAGTCTTTTACAACTAACTCTCCTTTAATCCAGAATCCCTCATTTCATTTTCCAGCATGGAGATTAGGGGGATTGCACTGCATAGGAATAATAATAATCTGGAGCATTTGGTCAGCCTCACCTTTGGCACTAGTGATCCCTTGAAACCAGAAGAAATGTTCTCAAAAGCCCCTTTTCTAACCTCCAGTGGAGTCAAATATATCAAACCTGACTGCAAAGGCTTGAAGAAGCTGTGCACTCAGCCAGTAGAAGAAGTGAACAAAGTAAAGAAGTTGAGAGGTGGGAAAGCACCTGATGAGTGAGTCCACACACACCGGAGGAGGACGAGCCACTGCAGAGCATGTGAGCATCAGCTGACACAAACATCTCGATGCAAAGCTGAAGAACAGGTTCAGCTCAAAGCCAGAGAGGGCATGCGTCTCCAGAGCACAGCCATTGTTTAGCTTAACGCGCCCACGCACACACTTCAGTCTTGCAGGTGTGTGTGCTTTATAAAATATTACAAAACTGATTTTATTTTGAGACACAGCTGGATTTTCTTGGTTTGGTCCACTTTGTATCAAACGCACATCTGTTCCCTCAAACTGAACTGGGTCAGAATTAAAGAGAACTTTGCGCGGACACCGGTCATGGCTGCGCGCGGTTCTGCAACCGCTGACCTAAATCAAGCCGCACGCACACACACACACACACACACACACACACACAAACAACCCCCCCCCCCCCCCGCCCCCAAATAAATAAATAAACCTCTGCTCAGCTC